AGCTAAAAAATACAAATTTGGAAAAAAAGTGTAAAATTGTTATGGAATGACCCCAAAAAAATCCAAATATCGATTATAACTTTTAAACGAATTAAAAAATAGTTATGAAACTTGGTAACAATGTTATTTGCCATGAATAGTACCGTTAGAAGGCCAAAAAATACGAATTTCAGAAAAAAAGTGTAAAATTGTTATGGAATGACCCCAAAAAACTTCAAAAATCGTTTATAACTTCTAAACGAATTAGAAAATAGTTATGAATCTTGGTCGTTACGTTATTTGCCATAAATTGCCGTTAGAAGGCGAAAAAATACGAATTTCAGAAAAAAAGTGTAAAATTGTTGTGGAATGACCCCAAAAAAATTCAAAAAACGCTTATAACTTCCAAACAAGTTAATAAATCGTTATGAAACTTTACAATTAGATTCTCTACTGTAAATGACACTCTTTAAAGCCATAAAATATAAATTTAGTAACAAAAAGCGCAAAATTAATACGGAATGACCCCAAAAAAATCCAAAAAACGCTTATAACTTCTAAACAAATTAACAGATCGTTACGAAAGTTGATAATTATGTTCTTTGCTATGATGCGCACCCTTTGAAGGCGAAAAAAAAAATTTAAGAAAAAAAGTGTAAAATTTTTAATGGAATGTCCCCAAAAAAAAAACCTAAAAACGGTTATAACTTCAAAAGAAATGAACAGATTCTTTTGAAATTTGGTAATTATAGTCTTTTAATATATTCTAACCAAAAAAAAAAAAAAAATCTGCGTTTCATAACTATTTTCTAATTAGTACAGAAGTTATAAACGTTTTTTTTTTTTTTTTTTTTTTTTTTTGGGGTCATTCTGTAATAATTTTACCCTTTTATCCACAAATTTGTATCTTTTTGAAATAAAAGGATGTCATTTATAGCATATATAACATAATTACCAACTTTCATAACAATTCGTTAATTTCTTGCGAAATTATAATCGTTTTTTGAATTTTTTTTTTTTTGGGTCATTCCGTAATAATTTTACCTTTTTATCGCGAAATTTGTATTTTTTTCACCTTTAAATGTATCATCCCTGGCAAAGAACATAATTCCTAAGTTTCGTAACGATTCGTTACTTTGTTTAGAAGTTATAACCATTTTTTCGATTTTTCTTTTGGGTCATTCCGTAATAATTATTCCTTTTTTTTTCTAAATTTGTATTTTTCTAGAATAAAAAAAAATTTTGTTTATTTAAATACTAACCGTTTTGTTGTTAAAATCAAACCCTTTTTTCAGTATAAAATAATTTATATATAAATTTGTCTAAAGTTCAAAAAAATTGATTAAAATTAATGTATGTTACGTGTATTTTTTTAATTTTGAGGTTAAAATTTTCATTTTAACAGATATATATATTTTTCTCTAACTCAAGAGAATGTCAAAGTTGACATTAAAAAGTCGTGTATGACGAATATACATATGAATGGTGAATTTCGAAAAGGGCTCAACTCGAAAAAGCGTAAGTGTCATTTTCGCATAACAATTGATAGTGAAAATGACTCTTAGCCTTTTTAGAGTTGAGCCCTTTTCGAAATTCACCATTCATATATATATATATATATATATATATATATATATATATATATATATATACATTTATCCAAAAATTCTTGAAGAAATTTTTCGTTTAAATATTTATTTGTTCATTTACTTTTTTTTTTTTTAAAAAAATAATTAATCAACAGTAAGCTTTTGGCAAAGATAAAAATTTTTATGAAACATTACAAGCGCATTATTACTAAAAATAAAAAAATAAAAATGGGGGCAAAAAATCCACCTGAAACCAGCTAAAACATTTACTCGAGTAGCTATATAAATATTTATCTAAAGCATCAGCTGCAGATATAAAGCATTGCTGTATAGCTTAAAGAATTGTAGCATTACTTGTATGGTATAAAGAAACAGTTATATAGTTTTAAAGCATATATATATATATATAACTACCAGCTTAAAGAATAGTTACAGTAGCATTATCAATAGTTTTTGCATTAGCTATATAAAATTTTATGCATTAACTACACTTTTAGAATGAACTGCAGATTTAGCATTTAAGAACAGTTTTCAAAATTAAATTTCCAAAATTAAAAATACACTTTTAGAATTAAATGTATTTTAAAGGCATTAAGTATACAGTACTTAATTACTGCTGTAATTAATTTACTGCTATAGCATTAACTATATATACAGATTCAGCATAAACAACAAGTTTTAGTATTAAGCACGAATTTTCAAAAATTAATTGCAGATTTAGTATGAATTAGTTTTTGCATTTATTATATGCTGTAGCAATTTATTTAAAGTTTCTGTATTAATTAAATTTTTCAGCATTAACTATACTTTAAGATAAAATAAATAAAAGCAGATTTAGTATTTAACAACAGTTTTAAAATTACACTTTCAAAAATTAAATACTGCTTTGTCAGCTTTAGCATTAAGTATATATACAATTTTGGGATTAATTAAAATTTTAGAATTTGGTATTTTTTTTAGAACCAAATGCAGTTATGGCATTAAGAACAAAATTTTCAAAAATTAAGTATACTTTTAGAATTAAATGCACTTTTATATCAGTTTTAGCGTCAGCTATATAGTTTTTGCATTTGCTGCAGCATCATTAATTGCAGATTAAGCATTAGGTAGACTTTAAGAATCAAATGCTGTTTTATCAGTTTTAGCATTAAGTATATATATATATATATATATATATATATATATACACAGTTTTTGCATTTACTGCTGTAGCACTAGACTATAAAGTTTTAGGATTAATTAAAATTTTAGCATTAGTTGCACTTTTAGAATTTAATGCAATTTTAGAATTAAAAAACAGTTTCAAAATTAAATACACTCTCAGAATTAAATACATTTTTAGCATTAAAAATACAGTTTTTCGATTTACTGCTGTGTAGCATTGACTAAAAATTCAGTATTATAACTACAGATTTAGCATTAAGTACAGATTCAGCATTAAGTACAGATTCAGCATTAAGTACAGATTCAGCATTAAGTAAACTTTCAGAATAAAATTCAGTTTTATCAACATTAAAATTAAATATAATTTTTGAATTTGCTGCAGTATCATTTATTACAGATTAAGCATTAAGTACAGTTTGAGAATTAATTAAAATTTTAGCCAAGATTTTGGCATTAAGTACAATTTTTGTATATATCGTTTGTAACATTAACTAAATATAGTTTTAAAATTAATCAAGGTTAAAGAATTAACTACAATTTGAAAATTAAATATTGTTTTAAAAATTAAATATTGTTTTGAAAATTAAATACAGTTTTAAAATTAATCAAGGTTAAAGAATTAACTACGATTTGAAAATTAAATATTGTATTAAAAATTAAATATTGTTTTGAAAATTAAATACAGTTTTGAAAATTAAATATACAGTTTTGAGAATTAAATAATTTTATAGATATTAAATAAAGTTTTGAGAATTAAATTCTATACAGTTATGGCTATTCCAGTGAATTTTTCAGCTGTTGCATTAGTGAATTTGTACATCATTAGATATACAAATTACATTTCAAAATTTTACTATATATTATTACACTAAAAAACAAAAAAATAATTCGATTCAAATAATCGGTTACTTAACTATTATTAAATAAATATTTACTTGAACCAAATAAAAATTTACATGAACGAAATAATTTTTTATTCATATTATTAAATAAATGGTAATTGTTTCCAAATAGGTAAATTATTGGTACAAATATACAATTTATTTACTTTAATTAACAATTATTTGGTTCACGTCAATATTTATTTGGCTCAAGTAAATATTTATTTGGTTCTACTAAGCATTTATTTGGTTTTACTACATATTTACTTGGTTCCACTAAATATTTACTTATGGTTCTACTAAATATTTATTTGGTTAAAGTAAATATTTATTTGGTTCTTCTAAGCATTTATTTGGTTTTACTAAATATTTACTTGGTTCTACTAAATATTTATTTGGTTGAAGTAAATATTTATTTGTAATTACTTAATATTTATTTGGTTAAAGTAAATATTTATTTGGTTCTACTAAGCATTTATTTGGTTTTACTAAATATTTACTTGCTTCCACTAAATATTTATTTGGTACTACTAAATATTTATTTGGTTGAAGTAAATATTTATTTGTAATTACTTGATTCTACTTAATATTTATTTGGTTAAAGTAAATATTTATTTGGTTCTACTAAGCATTTATTTGGTTTTACTAAATATTTACTTGCTTCCACTAAATATTTATTTTGTTCTACTAAATATTTATTTGGTTTTACAAAATATTTACTTGGTTCCACTAAATATTTACTTGGTTCTACTAAATATTTATTTGGTTAAAGTAAATATTTATTTGGTTCTACTAAATATTTACTTGGTTCCACTAAATATTTACTTGGTTCCACTAAAAATTTACTTAGTTCTACTAAATATATATTTAGTTGAAGTAAATATTTATGTGTAATTACTTGGTTCTACTAAATATTTATTTGGTTAAAGTAAATATTTATTTAGTTCTACTAAGCATTTATTTGGTTTTACTAAATATTTACTTGCTTTCACTAAATATTTATTTGGTTCTACTAAATATTTACTTAGTTTTACTAAATATTTATTTGGTTAAAGTAAATATTTATTTGGTTCTACTAAATATTTACTTGGTTCCACTAAATATTTATTTGGTTCCACTAAATATTTAATCAATAATAGTGAAGTAACCAATTATTTGAATCAAATAAAGTTTTTTTTTTCATTCTTTACACCAATTATATAGAAAACTAAAACTACATCAGAATTATAAAAATCAAATTTTTTTCAAAATTTCCCTAAAAAATTTTTTTTTTGTCACTCGATTAATGAAACAAAAAAAAAAAAAAAAAAAAAAAAAAAAAAAAGAATACTCTCCCTATTATACAATCATATTACACTATTTATAATCATATAATAATGAAACCTACTATTTCCACAACGCCTAATGCAATTCATGAATGCTGATGGAAGATTTCACACAATTTTCCACTTAAAACTCATTATATTCCTGATAGAACAAAAAAATTTTCCATATGCTTTTAAAAATAAATTCAATGTTCAATTAAGAAAAAAAAAAAAAACATTCATATCACAGAAATTCATTTTAAAAATTCTCTTCTTATAAAAAAGAATGTAAAAAAAAAAAAAATCCCGATGAATTTACACAGGAAAATAAAAATATTTCCCCTCTCTTTTATAACTTCTCTAAATATGTAAATCGTTTCTAAAAAACATTATTTGTATTTATAAATATGATATGTACACACTAATATTGTTGTACGTAAGCAAAAGAGGAGGTTAATGGGGGGGGAAGGAGTAAAGGGAGGGAGGGGTAGAAAAAAAATGGCGTCAATTGCACTCGCGTATTATTATTATTATTTTTTCTATTATCTATTTTTCATTTTTGGGGAAATTAAGTGACACAAAAAAAAAAAAAAAAAAAAAAAAAAAAAAAATGATAAAAGAAAATAAGAGAAAAAAAAGGGGGGGGGTGGGATGAAAAAAAGGCGCTTATTTTGTTTTTCTTTATTTTTCGTGAATTTTGACACGAAAGTATTGCACGACGCGGTGAGGTCGGATGACGACTGACTCTCCGGGCGTCGCGACGCCGACGCCACCTTCGACCACCCTTTGCTCTCTCTCTCTCTCTCTCTCTCTCTCTCTCTCTCTCTCTCTCTACCGCACTCCAAACCCTGGTCTAGAGTTTGAAAACTAGCGAGGAAACCTTTCCTCTTTTTTTTTTCTTTCTCTCTCTCTCTCTCTCTGAGTAACACTCTCTCATCGTCAGCCCTCGTCACAGACTATGTTTTACTCTTACGTATGTACGTCGAGTATGTACCTAGTATTCATGGACAGAAAGGAATACGATGGTTGCGCAAAAGTGCATGAGCACCTGGCACGAGCCTCACAGGGGTGGCTGACCCACGGAAAGACTCACCAACACTCATAAACATTCACCATCCCCCCCCCCTCCCAACCAACCCTCTCCTACTACTTTCTATATACTCACTGAAGCCCGTTCAATGTCGAAAAGATGCAACAGCATTCTTTCAATCTTCCAAGACAATCCCCAGACGATACGATAGTGTATATATATATATATATATGTATATACCTATATATAGTAGGGGGGCTTCGCCCCCCCTGCGCGCTTTGCACCCCAACCCCCTAATTTTTTTTTTTTTTTTTGGTTTTGTAGATGTTTGAGTTAATGTTTAGACAATTTCTGAAATTTAAAACTATTATTAATATTTTATTATTTATTTCTTTAAATGTCATTTACAATTTTTATTAATAATAATTTTTATTATTTTCAATTTTTTAAAACAAAATTTATCTAATTTTTAAACATTTTTCCAACTAAAATTTGACCTACATTTAAGGTTAGGGTCAACCGGGGTAAATCCGAACGCTTTTTGTAAGTTTCAACAATAACATACACAGTTTTTCTAAAAGTCTCAAATTGAGACCAAAAATTGCATCAAATCTTTGCAACGTTTTGATGCACATAAATTATATCAAAAAGAGATCGTTTTGTGTATCATTTTTAGAAATGATACACGAAAAGGTCTCATTTTTTGATGCAAAAAATTTAATCAATTTATATCAATCATGGCCGAATTGAATCGACTCAAAATTGAACGAATTTTTTTCAGATATTTTGGTAATAGTACAATTGCGGAGACCATTTCACTATTTAATTTAAAAATGAAAATAACAGAAAATCAAAGAAAATGTGCAATTCGATAATTAAAAAGTGACAACTTATAAACATAACCTAAAATGCATGAGAAAAAATTTGTCGATAAAATCAATATAGCCGAGCTTTTTAGAAGGTAGATGGCAGCACTCATCTATTTTCTTTCTTTAAATTTTTTCTGAATCGTTTTTATAAAAAGCAAAACTGCCATCTACCTTCTAAAAAGCTCGGCTATATTGATTTTATCGACAAATTTTTTCTCATGCATTTTAGGTTATGTTTATAAGTTGTCACTATTTAATTATCGAATTGCACATTGTCTTTGATTTTCTGTTATTTTCATATTCAAATTAAATAGTGCAATGGTCTCCGCAATTGTACTATTCACAGAAAAAACTTGGACTCATTTTTGTTGCAACTCATTTTCTTTTGGGTATCGAAATGAGTATGGGACAAACTTCATGTTATTCAAAATGATATTGGCTGGAATTTCAGATTTCTAAGTTGGCATCATAAGCAGAGTAATTTTGTATTTCAATCATTGTTTCTAATATTTCAACAACACCAGAAAGATTATTTTGACCAGTACGAATATTTAGAAGTTTGTAAATAAAAATTATTTATTATTATTTACGTAGATAATAATTAATTTCAAAAGTTTTTAAATTTACCGCTATTATTTAAGTTGGCAGTACCGTTCCTGTTGTCAAAACACATGTTTTCATTTTTCTAACCTAAAAACATATTTCCTTTATTATTTTATTACGCGATTACAAGCAATTTTTAATCAAATATATTAAGTCTAGCGTGTTATTTACTTCTTTGTAATTATTATATTTCATGTTTTTGTGCAAAATTATTCGTTATTTCACAATATTTTTCCATTTTTCTTTTTCTCAAAATGAAACTTGCCTGTTTCATTTTGAAACTTTTACCTTAGAACTCGAAATGAGACAACCAGTTTCATTTTTGTTGCGAATCAAATTGAGTATAGAATCTATACTCAATTTGAATTCAGGTTTTTTCTGTGTTACCAAAATATCTGAAAAAAATTCGTTCAATTTTGAGTCGATTCAATTCGGCCATGATTGATATAAATTGATTAAATTTTTTGCATCAAAAAATGAGACCTTTTCGTGTATCATTTCTAAAAATGATACACAAAACGATCTCTTTTTGATATAACTTATGTGCATCAAAACGTTGCAATAGAAAAAGAGACAACCAAGTTTACTGTGATAAGTTTTTTCTTTAAAAAAAAAAAAATACTTCCGGTATTCTGGTGTATGAAGTTGTTACTTTACTTCCATAGAACAATTTTATGGGGTAGCAAAAATTTTTGATAAATTACAATCGCAGGAAACTTTGCGTTCGTATTTACCTCGCGATACTTTGCAACTTACCTAAAATACCGGGGTAAATACGAACGCCACTGAATTTCAGAAAAAATCTTAGGGAAAATAAATTTAAAGTATTGCAATTGTTAAACTTATATAAAAACTCAAAAAAAAAATACGATAATAAACCTATTATGTAATAATGCATCATATATATAAATACAAAAATCAAACAGGTTAAAAATTAAAATGCATTACACAATTAAAACCTTCAATAACTTTTGTCAAATCATAACGGATTTTTGCAAAACTTGGTACAGAAGGTATTTTGGAGTGATTGAATGTAAATACAAAAATAAAAGTGAAATTTTTTAAATTAAAAATGGCGGACTTTCCTAAAACTTATTTTTAAAAATGATCAAATTTGCTAACTCCAAATTCGTAATCAGCGACCCTGAAACCCCCCGAGTAACAATTTTCGAGTGAATCCAATGAATTTTTTAATTCTCGTTCGCCATTTTGAATTTTGAAAAATTGACTTCAAATTGGTAATTAGCGACCCCAAAAACCGTAGAATACCAAATTTTATTAAGATCCTGAAAAACTTTTTTCAACAAACCATATTTGGCAAAAAAATTTTGAAACACTCCTTCGAGAGAACAGAGATTAAGTTTCTGCTTATTAATTACTAACGAGGATAGGTAAAGAAAGAAAAACATTTTTCTATGTACTTTTATAATGTTAAAATAATAGTGTAATGAAATAAAAACAATTTTGTGTGGCTCTGATGTAAAAAAAAAAATTATTGAAAATACCGTTCGGATTTACCCCGGTTTTCCAATTTTCCGGGGTAAATATACGAACGGTCTGATATTATTAATAAAATTTTACAGAAGGCAAAAATGAAAAATAGTTTCTGTTCTAGTATTCATAACAAAAACAATTATAAATAATAAAATAAATTTTAAGCTTCTTTTTCTTCAAATACGAGACAAAATACTGAAAGAGTGTCATCTTTGATTTTCAATCTTTTTTTGCAATACTCGTTATCTTTGTTTATGCTGTTGCTAATTAACAAACGAAAAATGGAATAATACTTAGAATCTCTTGAAGAGAATCTGAGGTAAAAATTCTCATATCGAACTTATTTTTAAAAATTTTAATTAAGCTGAAATAATTAGCGTTCGGATTTACCCCCCGTTCTGATTTACCCCGGCTGACCCTATTATGTTCGTTTTTTTTTTTTTTTTTGGTAATTTTCCTTCAAAGATTGATTTAAATTTTGAAGTTATGTTTGTTTCATTGTCTTTTTGCGCCAAATTTTGGCCTAAATTTTGAAGTTACGTTTGTTTCTTGATCGTTTACCGATAAAATAACTTTTAACTTTAAAATTTAGTTCAATTTCGGCGGAAAATCCACCTTCCCTTTTTACGTAAGAAGGGGGAAGGGGGGGGGGCTTGCGACTATATTCACAGTCTTAAAACGAACATAACCTCAAAATTTAGGTCATTTCTGGCGGGGAGGGGAGGGGACTTGCGGCTATATTTAGAGTCTTTGAAACGAACATAACCTTAAAATTTAGGCCATTTTGGAGGAGGAGAGGAAATGAGAGGAGGGAGGGGGGACTTGCGGCTATATTCAGAGCCTTGAAACGAACATAACCTCAAAATTTAGGAAGGGGGTGGCTCCCTCTCTCCTAGGTCAAAATTTCTGAAACAGCGGCGGCGGCTGCGGCGAAATCTTTTTATAATATAGAAAGATATATATATATATATATATATATATATATATACATATATAAATATACATATGATTAAAAATCATCAACAAAAAAAAAGTAATTTTGTAATTAGAAAATTCTTTTTTAGTTGATAAAATTTGGTTTTAGAATTTGATATTTTTCTTTAGAAATAAGAATAGAATTGGAAAAATTTGTAAATGAGGAGTAATTTAGATTTAAAGTAGATTTAATGAGGATTAATGAAGGTTTAAAGTAAGTGAAAAGTAGGTTTAATTAAAGCTAAATGTAGGTTTACAGTAAGGTCTAGAAAAACTTTAAACTAGACATAACGAAGGATCAAATAAGATTCAATAAAGGCTAGAAATAATTACAACGAAGGAGTAAATTATGATTATTGTAGGTTTAAATTAGAACCAATAAAATATTAAAATATGTTAAATAAAGGCTCAAAATAGGTTTAATATAGTTTTTTGAGTAAGTCCAATGAAAGCTCAAAGTAGGTTTAAAAAAGTTTTAAAGTAGGTTCAATGTAGAACGATGTAGAATTTAAGTAGGTTCCCAATAAGGCTTAAAATAGGTCTAATGAAGGCTCAATGTAGGTCCAAAGTAGGTTTAATAAAAGCCCAAAGTAAGACTAATGAAAGTTCAAAGTAGGTCTAAAAAAGTTTTAAAGTAGGTTCAATGTAGAACGACGTAGAATTTAAGTAGGTTCCCAATAAGGTTTAAAATAGGTCTAATAAAGGTTCAAATTAGGTTTCAAGTGGGTCTAATGAAGGCTCAAATTAGGTTTCAAGTAGGTCTAATGAAGGCTCAATGTATGTCCAATAAAGGGTCAAAATAGGTTCAATGTAGGTTCAATGTAGGACTCAAAAATTAAAGGCTCAAAAAAGGGCTAATAAATGGTTCGAAGTAGGTTTAAAGTATAGGTCTAATAAAGGCACAAAGTAGGTTTGATTTTAGGATTTAACTGACAAAAATAGAAATACTAAAGGTTTAAAGCAGGTTCAAAGTAGGTCCAATAAAGGCTCAATGTACACCTGATGAAGGCTCAAAATAGGTTCAATAAAATTCCTTTGAGTAGGTTCAATGAATGCTCAAAGCAGGTCTAATAAAGTTTTAAAGAAGGATTAATGTAGGTTTAAAGAAGGCTCAATATAGGCTCAAACTAGGTCTATTAAAG